TTTGGAATTGATCTTGTATCCTGCCACGTTACTAAAGGTGTTTATCAGCTGTAGGAGTTCTTTGGCAGAGTTTTTGGGGTCACATATGTAAACTATCATATCGTCAGCAAATAACGAAAGTTTCACTTCATCCTTTCCAATACGAATCCCCTTGATCTCCGTATGTTGTCTTATTGCTATTGCTAGAACTTCAAGCACTATATTGAAGAGGTATGGAGAGAGTGGACAGCCTTGTCGCGTTCCTGATTTTAGTGGAAAGGCTTTGAGTTTCTCTCCATTCAGTTTGATGTTAGCTGTCGGCTTGCTGTATATTGCTTTTATTATATTTAGGTATGATCCTTGTATCCCCAGTCTCTCCAACACCTTTATCATAAATGGGTGGTGAATTTTGTCAAATGCTTTTTCAGCATCTAGTGATATGATCATATGGTTTTTTTCTTTCAGTTTATTTATATGATGGATTACATTGATAGATTTGCATATGTTGAACCAGCCCTGCATCTCTGGAATGAAGCCGACTCGATCATAATGGATAATTTTTCTAATGTGCTCTTGGATTCGGTTTGCCAGTATTTTATTGAGAATTTTCGCGTCGATGTTCATGAGTGAGATTGGCCTGTAATTCTCTTTCTTGGTTGTGTCTTTGTGTGGTTTTGGTATTAGGGTAACTGTAGCTCCATAAAAGGAGTTAGGCAATGACTCTTCTGTTTCTATATTGTGGAATACGTTAAGGAGTATAGGTATTAGCTCTTCCTGGAAGTTCTGGTAGAATTCTGCATTGAAACCATCTGGTCCTGGGCTTTTTTTGGTCGGGAGATTTTTGATAACAGCTTCTAATTCTTCGCGACTAACAGGTCTATTTAGATTGTTCACCTGTTCTTGGTTAAACTTTGGTATATGGTACTTATCTAAAAAAATGTCCATTTCTTTTACATTTTCCAACTTTGTGGCATATAAACTTTCATAGTAAGATCTAATGATTCTCTGAATTTCCTCTGTGTCTGTGGTTATTTCCCCCTTTTCATTTCTGATCTTATTAATTTGCATGTTCTCTCTCTGCCATTTGATTAACTTGGATAGGGGTTTGTCAATCTTGTTGATTTTCTCCAAGAACGAGCTTTTTGATTCATTGATTCTTTGGATTGTTTTCTCTGTTTCTATTTTGTTGATTTCAGCCCTCAGTTTGATTATTTCCAGTCTTCTAGACCTCCTGGGTGAATCAGCTTCTTTTTTTTCTAGATCTTTCAAGTGTACTGTTAAGTCTCCAATGTGTGCTTTCTCAGCTTTCTTTAATTGGGCACTTAGTGCTATGAACTTTCCTCTTAGCACTGCTTTCATAGTGTCCCATAGGTTTGAGTATGTTGTGTCTTTGTTTTCATTAAATTCAAGGAAGAGTTTAATTTCTTTCTTTATTTCTTCCTTGACCCAGAGGTGATTTAGTAGTTGACTGTTCAGTTTCCATGAGTTTGTTGGCTTCCTGGGGGGAGCATTGTTGTTGAATTCTAATTTTAGTCCATGGTGATCTGACAAGACACAGGTAGTTATTAATATTTTTTTGTATCTGTGGAAGTTTGCTTTGTTACCGAGTATGTGGTCAATTTTCGAGAAGGTTCCTTGAGCTGCAGAGAAAAAGGTATATTCTTTCCTATTTGGGTGGAGTGTTCGATAGATGTCTGTTAAGTCCATTTGATTCAATACCTCCAATAGGTCTCTCAATTCTCTGTTTGGTTTCTGTCTGATTGACCTGTCCATTGGTGAGAGAGGAGTGTTGAAGTCTCCTACTATTAGTGTGTGAGGTTTGATGACCGCCTTGAGTTCTAGAAGAGTTTCTTTTACATATGTGGGTGCCTTTATATTAGGAGCATAGATATTCAGGATTGAGACTTCCTCCTGATGAATTGTTCCAGTTATGAGTATGAAATGTCCATCTCCATTTCTTCTAATTGATTTTAGTTTGAAGTCGATTTTGTTAGATATTAGAATGGCCACGCCCGCTTGTTTCTTAGGTCCATTTGCTTGGAAAACCTTTTCCCAACCCTTTACTCTGAGTAAGTGTCTGTCTTTGTGGTTGAGGTGTGTTTCTTGTAAACAGCAGAATGTTGAATCCTGTTTTCGTATCCAATCTCTAAGTCTGTGCCTCTTTATAGGTGAATTGAGTCCATTGATATTAAGTGATATTAATGACCAGTGGTTGTTGACTCCGGTCATTTTTTTTTTTTTTAGGTAGTAGAGTGTATGTGTTTTTCTTCTTTGATTTGTGCTTGTGAATGGTCGCTAGATGTTCGAGTTATTGTAGGCCGTGTTGGGAATGTTGGATTCCATCGGTAGTGATTTTCCTTCTAAAATTCTCTGTAAGGCTGGATTAGTAGCTACGTATTGTTTAAATTTGTTTTTATCCTGGAATATTTTGTTTTCTCCGTTGATAGTGAACAATAGCTTGGCTGGGTATAGTAGTCTGGGTTTGCATCCATGGTCTCTTTGTTTCTGCAGTACCTCTATGCAGGGTCTTCTGGCTTTCATGGTTTCCATAGAGAAATCCGGTGTAAGCCTGATAGGTTTACCTTTATAAGTTACTTGACCTTTTTCCTTTGCAGCTCTTAAAATTTTTTCTTTAATATTTATGTTTTGTGTTTTGATTATTATATGGCGTGGGGATGTTTTTTTCTGATCCAATCTATTCGGTGTTCTGTATGCTTCTTGAACCTTCATAGGAATATCGTTCTTTAAGTTGGGAAAGTTTTCTTCTATAATTTTGTTGAATATATTTTCTGGGCCTTTGATCTGCAGTTCTTCTCCTTCTTCAATCCCTATTATTCTTAGATTTGGTTTTTTTTATTGCGTCCCAGATTTCCTGAATGTTTTGTGAAGAGAATTTGTTGGATTTGCCGTTTTCTTTGACCAGAGCATTTATTTTCTCTATGGTATCTTCAGAATCTGAGATTCGTTCTTCTATCTCTTGTATTCTATTGGTTATGCTTGATTCTGTAGTCTCCACTCGTTTACCTAGGTTTTCCATATCCATCCGGTTCTCGTTTTGTGTTTTCTTCATTGCCTTCATTTCAGTTTTCAATTCTTGGACTGTTTCCTTTACTTGTTTGATTGTTTTTTCTTGGTTTCTCAGGGTATCACTCACGGATTTACTTATTTCTTCAAACTTTTTTTTATATTTCTCATCCATTTCTATACTCATTTCTTCAAACTTTTTGTTATACTTCTCGACCAGTTCCTTAAGGGAGTTATTCTTATCCTGTTTAAGGGACTCTATTGCTTTCATAATGGCACTTTTTTCCACTTCATCTGGGTTAGAGTGTTCAAATCCTTCTGTTGTAGGGTCGTTGGGATCTGATATTTTCATGTTGTTTTTCAGATTGTTGGAGGAGGTCTTGCCTTGGCGTCTGCCCATCTCTTCGATCAAATGCTCTCTATTGGAACTTCTGGTATCGGGTCAGGTTCCCTTGTTGGGCAGGGAGTTCACTGATAGAATGCCTACCTTTCCCCAGGCAGGGTATTGAAGCACAGGCACTCCCTCTTTCCGGGATGCCCCTACAGAGCAGGCCCAGTGTGCAAGGCAGCTGAACTGGGGAAATTTTATGGCCTCAGTGGGAGGGGAGAAATATAGAAATTTGTACCTGGATGGAATCTGGGATGGCAGGCGGGAGAGCCTAGCAGGGTGGAAACAGCACCGCAGGCTGACCTGGGAGTCTATGGGGTCGGGGAAAGTCCTAGCTTCCCCTCGCCGGGCCCCTGCCGCGGGCCCGAATCAACTCACCACTCCGAAGACCCTCTGGATGGAAGCTGGGATGGCTGGCGGGGAAGCTAGCAGGGTGGAGCCAGCAGAGCAGGCTGACCTGGGAGTCTATGGGGTCGGGGAAAGTCCTAGCACCTCCTCGCCGGGCCCCTGCCGCGGGCCCGAATCAACTCACCACTCCGAAGGCCCTCTCTTAAGCTGACTTTTAAAAATACATTTCTGAACATTTTTCAGGGTTGTGAATTATACTTTAGATTTAAGAAATGCAGTATCTACTGATTCTACGTATCCGTCAGCACCCAAAATTTGCATGTTTTATTTCCATCCATGAGCCGTTCTGACCTTTTTCATCCTTTTCACTTGTTCTTAATTCCTAAAAGCCACCAACACTTGATTCTGCAATGTAGGATGATGGCCTAGGTTCAGACCTACAATGGTTAACTTTTGAACTGAAGATAAAAATGTTGATTTAACAAATCCCATCCACATATACGCTCACCTAAAGGACAATACTCCCCATAGCCCCACAGCTTAATTATCTCTGCTACTGTGAGGTTCTCCATTAAAAGAGTGAAGGGTTATTGTTTCATTCCTCACATCCTACATCATGGATTGCCTGTGTCCAGACTACCTTACAAACTGCATTGAAAAGAAACTTTGTAGACAGTTAGTGTATACTTTGAAGGTTGATATTGACAGTGGGTTCACATAACAAAACTGAATAGAAGACATGGAGAGAGAAATACAGACAGCTCAGCTTTTAGAGCTCTCTGAAAACACAAGCACAGTGTGTTGTCTGATGAGAACAGGTACAGCAGAGCCTGGAAAAGGAAGCATAGTGTCTCATCAGCAGAAAGGGGCAAAATGTTGAAAAACTTGCAGACAGGGCTACACGAGTGTTAGACAGCCACCTAGTAGTTTCGTCAAGGACAGACATGTAAGATGTAATCACAATAGAGATTACATAGAAAAAACCAAAATAGCTCACTAAGGTGAGGATGCTTTGGGTGGCTCTGGTCTCAGGTGATGACCTAGGAGACAGGGGTCTGAGGATGTATTGCATCCTCTTCTTATGTTTGAGCAGGATATATACCATGTAGCCACTAGCCAACATCATGAGTCCAAAAAAAAATGACATCATTCGATGTCAATAGGATTGTATAAAGTGTGCTAATTAGAATTCCAGGATTTATAACAATGCAAAATCCAAAATCTTTTATCACAGTAACATTTCTTTCACCCCAAATGTCAGTTGTGTATACAGGAATGAAGACATATACTAACAGTTGGATGGCCCAGCACAGGCCCAGGGAAGGACCAATGAACCTGGGGGCTCTGACCTTGAGCTGTGTCAATTTGGAATTAGAGGGGCTGAGGGTGATGGCCTGAAAGACACTCAGCAGGGATGTGGAGCCAAGGGATACTCCTCTGGCAACTCTATGAAAATATAAGGTAAGTTTACATGAAACATAATCTAGATAGTAATTCTGACTAAAAGCAGCTGTTGACTGAGGGATTCCTTTGCAAAGAACTATCAAGTTGGCACAGGTTAGGTGTTTGACAATCAGGTCTGTGGGATTTGCTCTGATTCCAGAGAAATCAGCAATGGCAAAACAAGAAAGTAAGACTGAGTTCCCCAGCATTCCCAGTGCCGTCTGGGTCAATAAGACGATCCCCACAGCCACGCCTCTGCAGGCCATTCTGTCATGTTCCTGGGTCACTGCACAACATTTCCAGAGGATACTTTAAAAAAATGGATTTTATTTTTCTTAGTGTGAAAAACAGTGTACTGCATAGACACTTGATAAGTAATGCTATAATGTATCTTTCTAATAAGTAGTTAGATACTTCTCAATAAATTGCTATTGTTTAAATTACTGATAATAAACTGGTACATTGTGGTAAAGTTAATCTTTATATTATCATTCATAGATGTTAGCGTTTTTCAAGTGCTTTATGACTGGTAGTTCATTTAAAATCCACAAGTGCACTGGTGAGATGGTCTAATGATAAAACTACACTTAGATGCATGTACTACGTGAAGACCTACCAAAGGTTTCCAAGGTTCCAGCCACCTGTAAAAAGAAGAGACTTACCAGAAAGGAGTCTGGCTGGCTCCAGAGAACAGAGTAACCCCTAACTAAAATACTATTGACAATTGATAGCTAGAAGAAAAGGGAGAGCCAGCTTCCTTGCTTCCTTTAAAAATGTGGTCCCAATAATTCAACTATAATTCCGTGTATGAACATACACTGAAGAATATATGGGCACCACAAACTATGATTTATGTGTTAAAAAATTAAAAAGGCACAACCATGGGTGACTAGAGAAATATGGTATAACTGTGAGAAGTGAGGGGGTATGAAAATGATCAAAATACATATAAATTTCTGAAAGATAAAAGGTGAGACTAGATAACAGAGAACAATAAAAACACTAAAATTTGAGAATATACATTGAGAGTAATAAAAAATTTTAAAAATTAGTGGCCATGAGCTATCAAGAAAAAATATTTGAATTCTCCTGTGGCAAACACACCCATGTAAGTGCATTTACATTTTTCTGCATGTACACATATGTGCATATGCTTGCCTTTAAGTGTTCCAATGCTACTTTTTAATCTTTTCATTAAGTATCATTTTAAAATAACTCTATCACATTTAATCATGTCTAAATACAAGGAAATAGCAAACAACTTATCAATATATTTACAACAGGATGCAATGAAGGCACTTATTCAATAGGAGGATCACTGGTAATATTTTTCACCTCTTTTTAATGAAATTAAAACACAATAGACACTACATGGAAATATTGAAAATAGATGTATTTCTTCTGAATTTTGGGACAAGAAATTTAATTAATACTACTGTAAGAAATCGACAGATACTCGTATACTGTCAGTAACTGATGCAATGGGCACCTAACACATAACACAATAATAATGGACATATCTGTTTGATTCAAAAGCAGTATCAGGGCAGGAAATAGTAACACATAGCTTTAATTCCAGTCCCTAGTAGGCAGAGATGAGAGAATCTCTATGGATGTGAGGCTAGCCTGGTCTACATAACAAGCTGTAGGACAACAAGGCCTAAATAAATAGACATTGTCTCAAAACAAACAAACAAACAAACAAAAAGCAAGATCCTAGTGTCATAGACAGTTGTGTCTGCAGGAAGTGGACATAGCAGAGGCACCAGAACCGAATAACAGGAGGTTGCACTCAATCAGTTATTCAAATGCCCATGGGCATGGAATTTGGATACTGAAACATCAATTTACCACTTGCTTCTCTTTTTACAACCCAGAACACAAAGCCCTGTAAGAAAGATATTAATTTCTCACTATGCCATTCTACACTCTTAGTTACAGTAAAGAAAAAATATCATCTACATGAAGCCCCAGGGGAAAGCAGAATTTGAGGTGTAAATATGCAAAGGATATCAAACAGCTCTTAAAATGCTCATGTAACTCACTAAATTTGGGAAAAGTTTTACCAACCCACAGCACAAAGTCTGATAATACTAAATCAAAAGTAGTGCAGTTGAATCTGAAAACCAGTAATAAACTGTATTAGTCACCAGCAACGCACCTTAGTGGGAGCAAACACATGGTCACTGTCTTGAAAAAGAGCAACAAAGTAGAATTCCAGGATAGTGTCTCTCACCTGCAGCATCCATGAAATCATATTGTGTTCAGGTCTCAGGATTATGCTTCTCGCTATGAACATTCAACCTGTGCAGGAGCCCTTCGCTGAAAGAGAAAGATCATGTGAGGTCTACAATCACCCACTTTCCAGAGATTGCTCTGTTCTCTGAAGACAGGGTGCCTTAAGGAAAGCAACTCACCTCTGCAGATAGGATGCATCTGTGATGCTGGCTGCTGGATAAAAACTCAGTGGCCAATGGGACCTACAACCCACATATAGCTACGAAATTGACAGCAACTCCCCAAATGAAGGTTGAGTGTTTTCAGCGTTCATTCCCTAGGAGAATTATGGAATGATGTCACAGGAAGGAACAGTTACAGTTATGCTAAGGAACTTGACATCACCTCTGAAAAACACTTGTACCCATCAATAAGAAAGAGAAACGTTTAGCAGAGTAGTGAACATTTCAGAAGTTCAGCCTAGAAGCATAGTCACTCTTTTCTCCTGAATGGTTGGTTATAGTTATAGTTTTCCTTAGTGATGGTAGAAGATAAAATAGATAAAATATTGTGACAGTAATTCTTGCTTTATAACTGTTTTGCTATATGTAATTTTACTATGTTAAAATGAAAGCCTTTCTTTTTTGTTTAAACAGAAAAAGGGGAAATGACGTAGGAGAGTCTTATGTATTTCTGTTGCTTTCATTGGCTAATTAATAAAGAAACTGTTTGGCCTGATAGGTCAGAACATAGGTGGGTGGAGAACAGAATGCTGGGAAGAAGGCAGTGAGGCAGTCGCCATGACTCTCCTCTCTGAGACAGCCGCAGGTTAGAATCCTCCTGGTAAACCACCACCTCATGGTGCTACACAGATTATTAGAAATGGGTTAATCAAGATGTGAGAATTAGCCAATAAGAGGCTGAAACCAATGGGCCAAGCAGTGTTTAAAAGAATACAGTTTCCGTGTAATTATTTCGGGTAAAGCTAGCCGGGCGGGCGGCGGGAAGCGGCCCACTGCTCCTGTTACACTCCTGCGGTGTCAGAAGGTGAAAGTCCCAGTAGGAGTACCAGGCAGGGATTATACCCTTGGGAGCAGGGACTAAGGGCAAAGTGTAAAGTTTTAAGTACACTGTGCTGTGCAGATGAATGATTATGAAAATATCACTTACATTCTTAGAGACTGGAAGTTTTGCTGAACCTGAGAGGCAGAGGTAATGCATGTCTAGGTCATTTGGAGGAGCTATCCTCAGACATCTGTGGGACAATTTCAGTTCTCCTAATTTCCCTTAAACTTTATTTCCAGCTCTTATGTCATGGAAAATATCCAGTATATGTGTTTTTTATGATGTCTGTTTGTACATTACAGCAATTCTGAAATAAAAAAATTTAAAATAAAAAAATAAAAATAAAAAATTTAATACTACTATCCTACTTTGCACTCAGCCTGTGTGATTAACCTGCATTTAGAACAATGTAACAACCAATCCTACTTGCTCTGGATTCCCCATGTATTCAATTTTTACAACTTAAGCTAATGCATAGTTTTATTCCTAAAATTTGTAATCTTTCATGCCCCTGACCCAGGTATAATGCTGATGTGTATGTATGTTATAGTAAAACAGCTAGTTTGAAATCAACCTTATGAAACAAATATCTACAATTAATGTTGGAAGTAACATAGATATATGTTGAAAGATCTGTGTCCAGTGATGTTTTCAACACTGTTTCTTATCTGACTCAGTTAGGAACAGTGGGAGTCAACATAATTAATCACTTGCAAAATACTTTTAAACATTTCTATAAAGTGTCCCTTATTTCTTCCTCCATGTGAAGGTAAATAAATGTTCAATTAAAGCATAGCAAATTTTGCTATGATGCAAACACAGAAACAGAAACAGAAATGGGCAGATAGATCAACAAGTCATTGTTCAGTCAGGCACTAATTCAGATTTATGAAAAAGACAGGCAGAGAATGACGGAAGACACAGGGAAAGAGTAGTAAAAATTTAAATCTTGGCTGGCTCCTGGTTAAATCCCCAGGAAAAGTGTTTCTTGATTTCTTTTCTATAATGTGACCCTGACACATATTAATTACTTTGGGGGCAACAAGTAATGTATTAAAACCAAAACACTCTGCTTCTTTATAGTCTGTCTGCATGAAATTTAACTTCCTCTTCATTTTCCCACCTCAAGTGGACCACATAGTCCTCCCCTCCTAACTTCTCTACATTCACTCATTGTTTTAACCCAACCTCCAAGAACAGGGCCAGAAAGTTTTAGCACATAATTCTACTGCATTTTCAAAAATGTCTTAATCCACGTACTTCTCAAATTATTCTACAAATTAGAAACAGAAGTGACATTGCCAATTCATTTTATAAGGTTACATTTACCCTGATACCAGGATCACAGAAAGACAGAACAAAGAGAATTACTTTCCAATTCCCCTTGTGAGCATAGATGCAAAAATAATCCATTCAATACTTGAAAATAGAATCTAAGAACACATCGAAAAATCATCCACTATGTTCAAGTAGACTTTATTCTGGGGGTGCAATGACAGTTCAACAAATATAAATCAATAAATATATAAAGAAACTGAAAAAAGTGATCATCTCTTTAAAAGCATAAAAAGCTTTTGACAAAATCCAACATCCTTTTATGGCATAGGTCCTAAAGTGACTATGGGTTTTAAATACGTATCTTAACAGAACTGAGGCAGTTCAAACAAAATCCATATCTGACATTAACTTAAATAGAGAGAAACTCAAAGCAATTCCACTAAAATCAAAAACAATACAAGGTTGTTCACTTTCTCCATACCTATTTAATTAATTTAATCCATATAATTTAGTACTTCAAGTCTTAACTAGAGCAATAAGACAACCGAAGGAGATCAAGGAGATACAAATTGGGATAAAAGCAGGCAAAGTGTCTTTATTTGCAGATAATAGTGTAGTGTACATAAATCTTCCTAAAAATTCCACAGGGAAATACCTATAACTGATAAACACTTTCAGCTAAGCTGCTTGATCCAAATTTAACTCAGAAAAATCAGTAGTCATCCCATATACGACTAACAATTATAGTGTGAGAAAAATTAGTAAAACATTATCCATGACAATATCCTAAAATACTTTAAAATACCTGAGGTATATTTAACCAAGTAAATGAAAAACCTTTGTGATAAAACCTTCAACTCATTGAAAAAGATATCAAAAGAGCAAAAGAACACTCATGTTCATAGATCTGTGGGAGCAATATATTAAAAATCACCATACTATTTAAAGTAGTCTATAGATTCAATGCCATTTCTATCAAAATTCTAAAACATGTCTTCACTAATATTTAAAGGAAAATTCAAAGTTTCATATGGAAACAAAAAAAACTGAACATAGCTAAAACAGTCCTGACAAATAAATGAACTGGTGGAGGTATCTTCATTCCTGATTTTAAGTTGTACTACAGAACTAGAGCAAAAAATAATAGGATACTATAGGCACTACAACAGACACATTGAGCAATAGAATCAAACTGAAGTTGTAGAAAAAAAGTCCACACTCCCAGGGACATACATGTTTTATAAAGAAGCAAGAAATGAATACCTATTGACATCTTCAGCAAATGTTCTGGTCAAACTGGATATCTTCATGTGCACAAATCCAAATATAAGCATTCTAATTACACTGCACAGGAGGCAACTCTAAATGAATCCAATGTCTCAATGTAATTCAGAAACACTCAACCTGTTGGAAGATAAAATCAGATATAGCTTTGAACTCTTTAGCATACAAAGACTTTCTGAGAAAAATAAAGTATAACACAGGCACTAAATATCAACAATAAATGAATGGGATTCAATGAAACTGAGAAGTTTCTGCACGGAAAAAGACACCATCATATGGATGTGGTGACAGCTTCTAGAATGGGAAAATATTTTTACTAACTTCACATAGGATAGAGGCTGCTCTATGAGAAGTGTTTCTCTTTAGGAAGTCAGGAGGTTGGTTTAACCGAGATGCTGAATTTGAATTTAGATCATGCTGAATGGTCTTTGGGTCACTATTTCAAAATTGTCTTAGATAAGAAAAAATTATTAGGAACACAAAATTGAGAGGAACTCTGAAACCCAGACTGCGACTGCACAGAGTGGACCAAGAGATGACTGATCAGCCACCCAGCTGGGCACCCACTTTCTAGGCCCTTGGTACCTGGGCAAAATTCCAGACTCCTCTGCCACCTTCTTAATTTCACTAGCCAGATAATAGGCCAGCTTTATGCAGGTAGATTTCTCCAACAGTCCTCCCCCATTGTCTGGACTCTATAAGCTACAAGTTCCACTCCATCTCCAAACCTACCCATTTCCCTATGACCTCAGAGGAACTCTAAAGCGTAGACTGTGACTTCACAGAGCAGACCAGTAGGTGGGTGATTAGTCACCAGCTGGGCACCCCACTTTCTAGGTGGCTGGTAACTGGGGAAAGCCCCAGATCCCTCCCCGACCTGCCTCAGCTTCTCTAGCCAGTCAATAGGCATACTTCCTGCGGTTATGCTGTTCCAGCATCCCTGAATTGATCAGACCCTGTTAGCTACAAGTCTCACTCCACCCTCAAACTCACCCATCCCCAACAGCCTCAGAAGAACTCTGAAGCACAGACTGCAACTGCACAGAGAGGACCAAGACAGGAACTCTGAACACAGGCTGCAACTGTGCAGACAGGACCAAAAGAGCAGACCAGGAGAGACCTCATCAGCTCCCTGAAATACAGACAATGACTGAACAGAGAAGACCAAGAGTAGCTCCTAAGACACAGACAGCAATGGCAAAGATTGGCACAAGAGGCAAAGACAATGCTGGCACCAATTGGAGGAAGAAATAGGTCGGCACCATTGAAAGAATTTATTCAAAAACATAAACCTTAACATGGTAACCCCAGAATCCAGTGATCATACAAGAATAAGACCTGATAATCCTAATCCAGAAGAAGCAGAAGAAAATGAGACTAAATATAAATTTATGAGGATAAAAGAGATACTTAAAAAGGAAATAAAAATTACCCTTAAAGAAATGGAGAAATAGACAAACAAAAAAGGAAGAAATTAATAAATCCCTTAAAGAAACCAAAGAAAACCAATAAAAAAACACAATCAAACAGGTGAAGCAAACATTTCAAGCTTTGAAAACTGAAATAGAGGCAACAAAGAAAAACACAAACCAAGGGAATTCTTGAAATGGAAAATCTGGGTAAATGAATGGAATCTACAAATGTAAGCATAACCAACAGAATACAAGAGAGGGAAGAAAGTATCTCAGGCATTGAAATACACTAGAGGAAAGAGATTAATCAGGCAAAGAGAATTTTAAATTCAATGAATTCTTAACACAAAACATGGAGAAATCTGGGACACCATGAAAAAAACCAAACCTAAGAATAATAGGGATAGAAGAAAGAGAAGAACTCCAGCTCAAAGGTACAGAAAATATATACAGCAAAATCAAAGAAGAAAACTTTCCCTGTCTATGAAAGGACAAGAAGCTTACAGAATGCCAAATAGACTAGAGCAAAGAAAAAAGTCCACTCACCATATAATAATTAAAACACTAAACATACAGAATAAAGAAAAAATATTAAGAGCTGCAAAGAAAAAAAAGCCAAGAAACACATAAAGACACACCTATGAGAAATACACCCGACTTCTAAATGGAAACCATGCAAGCCAGATGGTCCTAGACAGATGTGCTGCAGACACTAAGAGACTATCACTGTAAGCCCAGACTACTCTAACCAGAAAAACTTTCAGTCACCATCAATGGAGAAAACAAGATATTCCATGACAAAACAGATTTAAACAATACCTATCCACAAAATACAACCATACAAAAGGTACTAGGAAAAAACCTCCAACCCAAGGGAGCTCATTGCACCCACAAAAACACAGGCAACAGATAACCTCACATCAACAAACCCCAAAGAAGGGAAACATGCAAACGGTACCACCAAAACAAACAAAAAACAAAATTCCAGGAATTAAGAACCACTGCTCATTAATAACTCTTATTATCATTGAACTCAATTCACCTATAAAAAGACACAGGCTAAGAGAATGGTTAGGAAATAAGAATCCATTCTTCTAAATACAAGAAACACACCTCAACCTCAAGGATAGACATTAAATCAGAGTAAAGGTTTGGAAAAAGATTTTCTAATCAAATGGACTTATGAAACAAGCAGGCATAGCTATCCTAATATTTCACAAAATGGGCTTCATAGTAAAAATCATTCAGAAGAGATGGAGAAGGATACTTCATACTCATAACAGGGGAAAAATCCAACAAGATGAAGTCTCAATTCTAAACACCTATGTCCCATATACAAGGACACACATATATGCAAAAGA